ACCAAACAAATCACTGCTAAAGTGGTAAGGGCTTGGTTGTGTTTCACACCCCTCCTGAAGAGCCTGACCCATAACTGATCAACCCCAGCATACTGAATATGGCTGCCCAGCCCATCTGCCCTTTGTCACCAGGTCATGAAACATGGCTTCCTTGTGGCTATTTCTCTAGGCTCTTATGGCATCCCTGAAGAATGGAAAGAGACCAGGAAGGTGCAAGGCTACAGCTTAATCCAAAACACAACCTTGCTGTCCTTACAAGTGACCTTTCTATCTGACGTTCCTTGTCCTCAGTCTGTGGGGTCATACCATATCTTTTCCTGGGCTGTTTCTTCTGATACTTACTCAACCTCTTCCAGAGGCCCCCTCTCTATCATTCTTGTCTGTGCTGGATAATGCAAAGATGCCTAGACATCTTGAATCTCAGGAGCGCAGAGTGTGGCCATTTCTCTCTCAGGGCCACTCATCAAGGAATAGGAACAGAGACTCTGCCTTGAACACACACAGACCCTCTCGTAGGTTGGCTCACAATCTGCCAAGATGCCTGATAAATGCTCTCTTAACCCTTGAGGTTATATTTTCCATAAGATGCCCCAAAATATCTTTTCTTGATACAAATGGAAAAAAGTGAAGCCAACATCTTATTATTCTTGGTTATTTTCAGTTGTGCTTAATGGAAAACTAAGTTATTCCTTACATTGGGCCTTAACCTACAACTATTCTTATTACATTTCTGAGAAATACAGTAAGCTTTTTTAAATTTTATGGACTCATCTCATATTTCCTTCACTTTATCCCTAGATTAATATGATTACCACATACATTTTATGCTCTGAAGTTATTTATGAGAACTGAATGTTTTTCTGGGATCAAATCACAAAGCTCTGTATAATTTGGTCTCATATACTGTCACAAGCTCATCTCCACTCATCCTCTCTATCCCTCTGTATCCCTGTCAGGCAGCCTGGCATGGTGCTTAAGAACACTAGGAGGTTTGGATTCTGGGTCTATCACTTATTGGCCTTATGATCTTAGCGTGTTTCTAAACTTAAGTTGCCTCTTGCTCCCCCCCCCCCCGCATTATTGTGCAGATAACAACAATGGCTGTCTCACCACAAAGAGGCTCACGCCACACCCCAGTACCAAAACCAAATACCAAATAGCAGAAATGACCAGGTGTTTATGAGGATGTAGAGAAATCAGGGCTCTCAGCAATTCTGATAGGAATTTAAAACAGATCAACGCAATGAAAACCAGGATGGCTGATCCTCGAAAAGTCAGAAATCTGAACCAATATTTTCTTGAAGTCATCTCAAACTATTTTATGATAGAGAAATCACAGTACGGGCTATAACCCAAAATTAATGAAAGCAAGGAAGTGAACAGTTATTTGTACATCCATTTCATAGCAACACTACTTACAGTAGCCAACAAGGGAAAGAAAGGCAACTTAGATAACTGCATATGGCTGGGTGAGTAGTTAAACAGAATTTGATGGAATTCTCTTTGGGGGAGGGTGGATATCATTCACCTTAAAAAGGAATATGTTGGCATGTGTTTCCACATGGATGAACCTTGATGGTGTTACCCAGCATGAAATGACCCAGTTACAAAAAGATAAATATTGCATGGTTTTCCTTTGGGGAGACACCTAAAGTCCTTGAGTTCACAGAAACCAGAATTGGAGTGATGATTGCCAGAGGTCAGGGAGGAGTATGGGAAATCATTGCTTGACAGGTATAGAGTTTGAGCTTAAGAAGGTGAAGGTATCTTCAAATGGCAGAGATGGCCTGTGATGCAAATATATTTAATACCACAGAACCATACGCTCAAACTTTACAAATTGCAAATTTTGTTATGTGTATTTTACTATACTACCACAGGACCACACACTCAAGCTTTTCAAATTGTAAATTTTGTTATGTAAATTTTACAACAGTATATTTAAAAAACAATAATAACACTCGTCACAAGACATAGGGAAGCCATGAACCCAGAGTATATTTGTCATGGTACTACACCTTGGGTTGGTATAAAAAAGGGAAGATTGTTCCAGAATCTTTATAGAGGACAGAAGAATTGTTGGAAACAGGCAACCCCAGAGCTAAAAGTCAGGTGCCAAAAAGTTTTATCTGAAAGGAAAAAAATCCATAGATCTCTGTGAGGCCAGCTTGATAGACTGAAGAATCTATCACAATTTTCCTTCTGGAAGTCATGGTAGACCCTTGGGTGGTGATCAATGTGAGCAGAAATCTTGACTGTGGTTAGGTTGGTTTTTTTTATCAGAGGGATTGTTTTTTGAGACAAGATATCCTGTAGTTTAAGTGATTCACCCCTCCTTCTACCTCTAGAGTGGTTGAGGTAACAGATCTGTGGGCTGCCACCCTGCTTTAGGGATGGTGGGAATAGAACCTAGGGCCTTTGCTATACAAGGCTGGCACTCTACAAAATGAGCTGCTTTCTCTGTTCTAACCAAGATCTATCTTGGAAAACACCACATGTGTGTTATGTTACTTTTCTGCAGCACCTCGTAACAAAGTTCAAGCAACCAAGTTAATCAAGTAACAGGAAGGCATTACCTCACAGTCTTGCAGACTCCAGGGACAAGGACAAGGTAATGGCAGGGTGGATTCCTTCAGAAGGCTAGGAAGAAAAAAAATCCCTGCCGTGCCCCTGCTTTGTCTTGTAAGAGTGGTTTGCCTACAATGCTTGTGTCCCTGGGGTTGAGCAGACATCACCAATATCCATTATTAACTCCCCACATTTTCTCTATGTGAATACAGCTTCTACCTTCCTTTTAATGGCATGTTTTATATACTTCCTTTCCCAGGAATAATCTGGCAAACTTCAGAGAACATCCAAAATAAACACAAATAGTTGCCATGTAGAGAAGTATTAGGCTTTGCCACAAAAAGAGTTCAAATATCCCCAGAGAGAAGCGCTGCACATGAGTGGCAGAGGTGTAAATACCATAGTTAAAGCCAACGCTCATCAAATTTAACTATAAAGAGCTAGATATTAAGTATTTTAGGTTTGAGGGTTTTATTTTTTATGTTACAATGAATGCAACTTTGTCATTTAATGATAACAACCTTCACAAACAGTAAACAAATGAGCATCATTGTTTCCAATAAAGCTTTATTAGCAAATTCGGGCTCATATCCCTTGCCGGTTAAATTCCTTCATCATCCTACCCCATCCTTTTATTTTGTGCTGTTATTCTTTCTTTTATGTTCCAATCAAATCTAGCCCACTTGCAGTTTCTCCCCCAATGCAACCCTCATTATTTTCTCTCCCCTTCATGCAATGTGTCAAGAATGATCTTCTAAACTGCAGATGCCTCACCCTCAGAGCATCCTTTCTAGCCTGTCCTGGTTTTAGCTGAATAAATTCAAGCTCCCCCACCCTATCCCATGACCACAAAAGAGATAACAGCATCGGCACCCACACAGGGCAACCCAATCCAGAGCTGGAGTGGTGCAGTGTGTGTAGAACCATGTGTGAGCAGTGGAAAATACTTTCAGGTCATCCGTTTCAATTTATGAATCTCTTTGGCAGCCTTTGTTCTACTCTCACATGAGGCTCTGCCAAGTTTAGAAATACTTCCTCTGAATGACAATAAATTTGGTCTCCCCTAATCTTTCTCCCCATAGATAAAATCTCATTGAGGTTGCAATAGCACTAACACTTAACAGTAATGGTTTTCTTGCTTGATTTCAACACCCAAAGCAAATGAATCTGAGGGCCTCCTATGTCTGAGGTCGCAGTTGCTTGACTTGAGGACTCTTGCCTGTCCATATCCTGACAGTTGGAAGCTCCCTTGCTTGGATAACTGCCTCTCATGCTGTTTTATTTTATGAAGTCAAGACCATTGATAAAACCCAGACAGTTTGCAGAAGGGCCTAGGGAAGGTCATTCCTCTGGACCCTTGGCTGCACCTTCTCCGACAACAGATGAATTCACCAGATGTGTCAGAAGCGGCTCTCTTTTCCTCATGCAAGATGAACACACCCTTTGTTTGATGAGCCTCCGAGAGCTTAAAGGTAAGGAAGCATAATAATATGTCATCTCCATCTTGGTTTTCTCCTTAATTCTTTCTTTATTACTTCTGCAACTGGCCAGGTGCTTAACATAGAGGCAGACACATGGAAGACTTGTAAAAGGCATTCGCCTATCATCGCTGCTATCAACCTCGCAGCCGGCTCTCCTCCTTCTCCAGAAAACTCCCTCAACCACTTAGAAACTGTTTAAAGAAGTGCTTGGTGCAGGTTATAACCTGAATTGATAATTAACCTATCAATCTTTTTTTTTTTTCAGCACAGTGAAAATTACCTTCCAGTGAGCCATGGGGGAAAAATAAAACCCCTTTGAATCCTGTTTTCTTTCCCTGTTCATTGTTAAATTTGGAGAGAGGGTGGGGGAGGGAGAGAAGATACAGCAGTGTAAAGGAGAAATAGGCAAGAACAGAGGTCAGAGGGTCATGAGGCCAAATACAAAGCCCAGTGGGGCCCCCAAGATGAATATTTTCATTTCTCTTTTCCCTCCTTTTTGCATCCCTCTGCTTCTGTTTCCTGTTTTTTCTGCTTCTGACCCTCTTGATGTAAAATACATTCTGCAATATGCTCTTGCAGCCATGTTTTATTTTTCAAGATTATTGTTACCCCCTAATAACATTGACTAGTTATTTTTTAAAATTTGGAGTTTGTAAATGTCATTGCTAATTAGTAATTATCTAAGAATTGGATTTATTTCTTGGACCATTGACCTGTCACTTCCACAAATATAAATCAAAATGGAAAAATAAAATACCTTCCTTCTCAGGACCGCTGGCAGCAGTGACGATGTGGGGTGTTCCTGCTCTTCTCCCTTTGCCCTCCCCTCCCCTTTCTCTGGTTACTGGCACTCAGCTGTGTCACCCTAGTGACCAATGAGCAAGGGATCTACCATAGGCTCCTGGGGGACGTGGTGACTCACAATAACTCACCTCCCTCCTAACACCCCACCTGTGACTTCCACTTCCAAGGACTGGGGCAGGCCTCTGTACACAGTGTGGTCTCCTCTCAATAAAGACTGCTGACTGAGGGCCAGGTGGCTGACAGGCTGGCCCCAGGTGAGCCCACAGGAAAGATGACACCAGCGAGGTTCAGAGTCGCTGGGAGTGGCCTCTGGGAGTCCAGCATGAAATCTCCCAGGAGGCTCGCGAACTTTGCAGTCCTCTAAATCTGAATTTAAACTTTCTCTAGGCTGGGAGACTTTGAGCTTCTCACTCTTAGTTGTATTGTTTTCTCTTAGCTGCATTGTTTTCATCTGTACACCAAAGATAACGCTGTCCATTTCGTTGATTTCTTGGGAGCATCCATCACATGGAAAGTACCTAGACCATCAGGTAAGAGCAAGGAGCATGGAGAAGACAGGGGCCAACACCTGGGAACACCCGCAAGTTCATCTACAGTAATGTGGGTGAGAGAAACCCAGCAAGTCCCACGTACACAGAGACAGCAGAGCAATTCCTGGCTTCCAACAATGGTTATTTCCCCGAACTTGCTGACTACACAGCACCACCTAGGGGCGGAGCACGCTTGGAGCCGACAGTGGTCCCTGCAAGGCCAGCTAACTGCACAGTGCCTCTGTCTCTTTTGGCCCTTCCCAGTCTCCAGCCCTCCTCTTGCCCCTGCTCCCTTCTTTCCCATCCCATGTCCTTTCCCACCCAGACCTCATTCCTTCTCTTCCTCTTTCTCCTCTTCCTGGTGCAGCATTTTTCACACTGGGGTCCTCAGGGCTTTGGACAAAATGTAAATCTGTGGGAAGTCAGATAACATCCATTCCCAAACAGCTCTGCCTCTCGTCTTATGCTCCCTGTTGCTGACTTCTTTTTGGATGGCACCAAGAACTACTGGGTTGCCATGGTTACGTTGTCCCTGGGCTGGGAGAGGGGCTCTCTGGTGCTGTGGACAGTAGGGCCTAGGGATTTCCACCGCGGTCAAAGAGAAGGCAGTGATATGGGTCATATCTATATCCCTGGAGCCCACGTTTGTTTCCTAATGGGAATCCCACTGTGAATATTTTCTTGTTCTCTGACCAAACTAAGGGCTGTGCCCAAAGAGCTCACAAGCTAAAAGAGGCAACAGAATTCTTACTTAAGATGGGAGAACAGAGCTGGAGAGATGACTCAGCCGCTAAGAGCCCTAGTTACTTTTGCCGGTGACCTGGCCTCTATTCCCATCACCTACATGACAGCTCACAATGGAGTGTAACTCTAGGGTATCCAACACCCTCTTCTGACTTCCATGGGCATTATGCACACATGTTGTACACATACATATCTGCATGGAATGAACTCATCACATCAAATAATTTTAAAATTAGTAGAAGAGTGAAGGACTATTCTGGCCAAGTATTATGAGCCTTTCCAATTTCTACCCCCCATTTTAGAAACTGATTTATATACAGTGCTGAAGTATTTCTTTTAAAACACATTTACAAAGAAATGTTGGATTCAGTTCAGCATTCTCTCCACACCTCCTTAAGTCTCTCCCATTTTTCTCAAGAGCTAAGATTTACTTTCAAATTCCAACAAGTTGCCCTTGAAATGAGATCAAGTTTGTTCAATATAAAGTGTTTAGAAATATCAATATGAATACTGAAACACAATAATAAATTTCCTGGAGCATTATCAGAATACATCACTTCTATAAATCTTTGTGTTTCTAAATTTCACAGAAAGTTGTTGAATGCCTAATATCATCTTACTGTGCTCCTGTTTACTCATTTTTTGCTAAACCTATTGTTATTTGGTACACATGCTTGCTCTGATTATGGCAAACTAAATGCAAAATTTGTTTGAATTTTATAAATCATCTAGTTCACATCAAAGAGCCTCAGAAAATACATTTAAATTCCAACCATTCCAATAGTGGCCAAAACACACACACACACACACACACACACACACACACACACACACACACACACACAGTGGTAATTACCTGTGTCAGTTGAAGAATAGTTAGAAGTGCCACGTGTGCATTTGCTTCTCATTTTTCCCTTAGTGAGAATCATGTCTTGAATGCAAAGTGGAACCATGACCTTAACCATAATTTTACTTTCTATGGTTTCAGTTGCCTGTGATCAGCTTCAGTCTGAAAATTGCAAATGGAAAATTGTGGAAATAAACAACTTGTAAGTTCAAAATGTGTTCCATTCTGTATAGCATGACAAAAATCTCTCACTATCCCATTCTGTTTTGCTTGGGATGAAAACCATCTCTTTGTTTAGCATATCCACTTTGTATATGCTACCTGCCTATTAGTCACCAGGTAACCATCTTGGTTATCAGAGCCACCATAGGGGTTATTACGGTGCTGTATTCAAGTAATCTTAAGCTTACCAGTGACCCCAAAGCACAACAGTAATGATGTTGGCAAGCTGGATATGCCAAAGTAAAGCCTGAAAGTGCTTCCATTAAGTGTCATCTCACCTCACCACAGGAAAAATGAGCATTATACAGCAAGATCTTTTGGGAAGAGGAAGAAAATCATATTCATATTCCTTTTATTACAGTGTAGGAATGATGATTCTCTTATTAGATGACTCCATTATGATTCTATTATTATAATCTCTTACTGTGTTCAATTTATAAACTTCCATAGATAAGTATGTATAGACAAAATCATACGTTGTATGAGGTTTGGTACTTGTGAAGTTTCAGATATTCACTGGAATCATTGGGCCATATTCCCCATGAATAAGAGGGATGGCTGTAATTGGCTCATGTACTGTGATGTCCAAGAAAAGCAGATGAAAGCAATAGAGACAGCAAATAGAAAGGAGGATCCAGCCAGGTTCAAAGTTCTGTGTAGTTAAAGTATACAAACCTAAAGTATATTTATTTTCATTTTAAAGCCAAAGAAATACAAAATTCAACTGGATAGCTTTGCCTATGGATTCTGTTTGAGATGAGATAGCCCCATGCCATGTGAAGACGTGAAGATGGGGCTGGTGGCTACTTCCTTCCTTAAATTATCGTGTCAGTGTTATGGATGGAAACTGCAGGTGGGCTAGCACCTCCAGCAAGTGCACAACACCAGGCTTGGAGGCAACTTACCAATGGCATCTCTGGTCTTTATAGATCCCAGAAAACGGAGACAGAAATCTCCAAAATTTGCATGAAGGAATAACCACCAAGATACTGTAGAATGGCAGAGTGGCTTCCTCAGTGGAAAGTGTCATCAAGGATAGAATTCAAGAGAATCAGTCAGGGCTGACACAGCAGTGTTTTGTGTTTATGAGCTTGTGTGCACTGGTTCCACGATATCAGAGGACATGGCCTTATAAAATGTAAGGGGTTGGTCCCTGATTCTACAACAAAATACTAATTGGCTAATTGATTTAAATTTGTAGCTTATTACTTATGCCTGAAATTCTGTTGTTTCTCTGGCTTTTGAACACTAAGACCTAAGATATTTATGACCTTAGATATTGGGTAGGTTCTTAGATATAGCCGAAGATTCTTGTGATGTTTGATTCATTTAAAAGGGGATCAAGTATATTAAATTCAGGGGTGAAGTTTTATACACTTTAAAAGGTTTTCCTCCCACTTTCTTCATTTTATTCACTTTTGTAGAAATTGCCATTGTCTAACATAATAGATAAGTTACCTGTTTGCTTATTTTCTGTTCTCTGCTTATAGTCTGTGAACTTTGTTGAGGGCAAGATGGTGCCTGCCTTTTGATCCTAATAGATCCCCAGTGCCTGGACCAGAGCTGAAAATTGATGTTGTTAGAGAATAAACAGTAAATAAGATTTATAAGTAAAACTTGAAAATATAAGCAAAAACCCGGAGAAATTGCTTTAAATGTGCAATTTCAATGACGTTTAATTATGTTTGTGTTTGTGTGTCTGTACAGAATGAGTGCAGTTGGCTGAGGAGTGCAGAAGAGGATATCAAATCCCCTAGAGCTGGAATTACAGGCAGTTGTGAGCCACAGCATGGGGCTAAGAAACCTAACACTGCTCTTCTGCAATAGTGTTATATATTCCTAACTGCTGAGCCATCTCTCCCACTCTGGAGTGTGGACTTTTACTATAGCGAGCACTATTTGGCAAAAACATAAACTTCTCACAAATCTTCTTAGAACACAGGGGCTATCCCCAAAGACACCAAAATTCACTTGTAACATCTCACACCCTCTCTGAGTTCCCTGACCTAGGAGGCTGGCTCCAGCACAGACACACTCAATTTTGTCAGCTTTCAATGACAGCTGTTATCCTCAACAGTCACTTTGCAGTGTGGAAATCCTCATTCTTTCTGAGCAAACTGAAGCAAAGCAAGAACTGCAGAATCTTTCTGCTTCTGTGGAGCTAGTGGGGCTGTACCTTCAGGCCCAGATGGGAGGGGATTTCTTTCTTTTGTTTCCTGACATAAGATGGTGTCAACCTGCCCTACTTAGCTTTGACTTCTAAAGTCCAAGCCCAAAGGACATTACCTAGTGCATCTGCACTGTCTTCTCTACCCTCTCACTTCTCTATGGACTGATTTGGTTTATTTACCATCTCAGCATAGACATCAGAAAAACCTGTAAGACTAATGGCACTCTATGACACCCTGAGGGATGTTGATATGTGGTGATATATTATTTATGGTTTAATAAAACCTGCCTGAAGATTTAGAAAGCAAAATCAGCCTCAAGTTGTAGAGATCAGGCAGTTGTGGTACACACCTTTAATCCCAGGACTCAGGTGACAAAGGTGGATAGATCTCCCTGAGTTCAAGATCACCCAGAGCTACATGATTTTGAATCAGTCTAAAGGAGTAACAGAGCTCACCGCTTTAATCCCAGCACTAGAGATATGTAAAAGATAAAAGCAGGGTCTTCAGTAGTCAGTCTCAGGATTCTCCAGCCGTGTTGAGGAGAGCATAGCAGTTCTGGGATTATAGTCTGAGGTTTGATGGAGCCAGGATTGCCTTTCAGTCTGAGGTAGAGGTAAGAGCTAGTGGCCAGCTGCTTTGCTTTTCTGATCTTCAGCTTGAACCCCAATATCAGTGTCTGGGTATTTTATCTTTTGTGTTACATTGATAAGTGTCATAATTCTCTTCTCTGTTGCTGTGATAAAACACTATAACCAAAAGTAACTTGTGGAGGAAAGGATTTATTTCACCTTATAGTTTACAGCCTATCATTGAGAGAAGTCCCTTAAGGCAGGAACTTGGAGGGAAGAGCTAAAGCAGAGGCTTTAGAGGAATGCAATTTATTGGCTTGCTCTCCCTGGCTTACTTAGCTTTTTCTTATGTATTCCAGGCTGACCTACTCAGGAATGGTACTACTAGAGTGGGCTGAGCCCTCCTACATCAATCAAAAATTAAGAAAATGCCCCACAAATGTGGAGTGCAAGAAGCCCTGAGTGAATTGTATTGTTGACAAGAACCAGTGCCTCTAGACCTATGAGAATGTCAAAGCCTTCTCCACATAATTCAGGCTCAGAATTTGGAAAGCATTCCTCTGGTCCCGGTGCAAATGCTGACAATGTATGTGAGTACAAGTGTTTATGAACTATTGTCCAGTGTGCACAAAAACCAACAACTGCAGCTTGTTCCTCCCAGATGTCTACAGAGACTGCTCACCACAGGGACCACCTACCAGGACTAGCTAGATCTCCCCCACCATACTGAGCAAGGTTCCCAGTTGCTCCCACTCCATCAGAGTGCACACAGCCTAGCTGATCCCACTTTTCTGTACTTGTGTCTGTACTTTCCTTGATTCCCTCACTGGCCCCAGTCAGGTCAAGTCTAAAGCTGCAGCTATATCCACTGCCCAAGCTGTTATTGTTTTGTTTAAAAAGAAGAAAAGAGAAATGTTGAGACAGACATATTGACTATAAGTTTATTATAAGGCCCGGCAGACGGGGGAGACTAAGAGGAGGAACAGGGTAAATGCCTGACCGCCATGGCCGGTCGCCATAGAGAGACAGAGCGAGAGCATAGGTGGGGGACAGAGTAGCACAGAGAGCGGGACAGAGAGCGGGACAGAGAAGGGGAACAGAGAGCACAGAGAAACAGAGAGACAGAGGAACAGAGAGCGTAAAGGGGCAGGGACTTATCTTTTAAAGGGGTCCTCTGCACCTGTGTGTAGACTTAGTTCCCATGGAACCTTGGGCTGACCAGAGTACTGCCTGTTTCACCAGGTAACAGGGGCAGGCCAGCATAATGACTGAACCTTTCACAAGCTGACTATTCCTCTTCCCAGGCAACTCAGGTCTATGTCCTGGTGACAAAAACCATGCAGCACAATCCCATATTTCCTTTATTAACCTAATAATATTGGTGATGAACAGCTCTGAGGCTCCATGGCTTACAACAATAACCACGCCTTATCATGTGTCAGACGGACGATGATTCTTAGTGTCAGGTATGGTCAGCTGTAGCCTTGTTGATTCTGGTCAGTCCTTCCAGCTTGGCTGGGACAACTGAACTGACAACTTATGGTCTCTTATCCTCCAGCAGCTTAGGGTTGTCCTTTTTCATGGATGAAGCATGGATTTAAAAGGAAAAAGAGAGATAGGCAAGGCCTCTCGTGGTGGCCTCAGAGCTAGCGCATTGGCACTTCTACTGTGCTCTGTCAGCCAGAGAAACCAGAGGTCAGTTTTAGAAGCCGAGAAAGAAGATCTCTCATTCCTGGATGAAGAGGCCATCTCTGCCAGAAATCTACCAATAGCACAATTGCTTCTTCAAGAGCTGCCAGAGAGATGACACTCCCACGGTCCCCCTAGGCTGGTCAGCTTTGTCCAGTTAACCCAAACCTAGACGTATCTGGGAAGAAGGCATGTTAATTAAGAAAGCACATCCAAAATATTGGTCTGTAGTCAAGTCTGTGGGCATTTTTTTAAAATCAATCATTGATGTGGGAGGGCTCCGGCCATTGTTGGCTCTGTCACCCCTGCTCAGGTGGTGAACAAGCTGTGAAGAGCAAGCCAGTAAGCAGAGCTATTCAGTGGCCTCTGCTTTACTTCCTGCTCTAGGTTCCTGCTTTGAGTTCTTACCCTGACTTCCCTCAGTGATGAAATGTGAGCCTAGAGTTGTAAGCTAAAATAAACACTTTTATCACAGCAATAGGAACCCTAGTAAGACTGTGGGTTCGAGGCCAGCCTGGTCTACAGAGTGAGTGCCAAGATAGGCTCCAAAGCTACACAGAGAAACCCTGTCTCGGAAAAACAAAAACAAAACAAAAAAACCAAACAAACAAAAAACAAACAAACAAAAAAACCCTAGTAAGATACACCAAAAGGCTTGGAAGATGCACTGAGATGATTGTATACTGTAGATCAAAGGATTGATCTCCTGAGCACACGCAGGCAAAACCTAGAAAGTTAGGGACACTTAATAAGGCTATGAAGAGTTTGTTTTCCTGTAAAGCAAATGACAGAGCCTGATGGTCAAGGTTCACCCACAGGCTAATAGGCCTGAAAACATGGCTGGTGTAACAAGGTCTCTAACATTTCTGTAACTCTGACCTCAGTATCGCAACAGTGTTGTAAAAATATATAGTACACAGTGTCCACATCCTGCAACGTGATGTAGACATGTCATTGCTTTCTTGTCACTCCTATGTAATATGCTCTGTCCTTTCTCAGCCAATTACATATACTGTGTCTATAGCATGATACTGGGTGATCAGAAGCCACCCTGCAGGCTGCCCTTCATCCCAGGAACTCCTTCCTGGTTAATACAATTAAAGCTCTTGGCAAAGCCCCCCCCCCCGCCCCTCTCATCCTTTCTCACTCCTTAGCTCCCAGCCTGTCTATCCAGTCCTGGTCTGTCTTGTTTTCATCCTGTTGCCTCTTTTCTTCTGTTTGAGTAAGCAAATAAATTCAGAAAGCGATGTTTAATGAGCGATATTCTAAAAACAGCCAAACAAACAAAGCCCCAGCTGTGGCCATTGAAAGCTCTTGAGTGTTTGTGAGGTGAACTGCTGAGGCTAAGATCATATAGTAACACTTTCAGGGAGGAGCCAGGCAATTTCTGCCAATGGGTAAAATTTGTGCACCCTTTGATGTAGCAATTCCAGTTTAGTTTAGCAGCTTTATTTCATAGATAAATTTGCAAAATGTTGCCAGTGTATGAGAGAGAGAGAGAGAGAAAGAGAGAGAGAGAGAGAGAGAGAGAGAGAGAGAGAGAGAGTTTATATACAGACACATTCTGTATCAACTTACAAAAGGTGTTGATAACATTAAAGCATCAGGAAGCTAGTGACATAAATGCCCATCACTTGGGACTCTTTAAATAAAATAGCATATTAGATTACCAGCCAACCATTGATTGATGGATGCATTTAGAGAGATGGCTAAGACATGTTGAATAAATATAACCAAGTTTAGAAGTATATAGTTGTGCTCCTTTCTAGCTTAAAAAGTCAGGAGGGGTGCATGTACTGTTGGGGCTTAGAAAATTATACACTTAAATATGACACTTTGGTATGCTGATCATTTTAAAGTAAAGTTGTTGGGAATAGCAGTTACTAGATGAAGATTTTCTGGAAGTCCCTCTACAGTGCTTCCCCAAAGAGAAACAGTCCCTCTCAAGCTCAATTCACCAAGGAAGGTTAAACACATCACACCAACATCCCACAAAAACTCTGCCTAGGCCACTGGCTTTTGTTTTTATTCACCTCTCTGAAACCATTTACTGTTCTTCTCAAATTGCTGACAGCCCTCACTTCTCTGGTTAACAGAATGGTTAAACCACAACCAGCTGGCCCTAAAGAGTACTGTATGTGGCCCCTATGCACATGTTCACACGAATTTCATTTACAGGAGAAATGGCTCAGAGGATGAAGGTAGCTGCCATGAAGCCTGATGATATGAGTTAGATCCCTAGGATCCACCCGGGTGCAAAAACTTATTGGCTTTCATTATTCTTCTGACCTCGACATGTGTGCTGTGGCATATACACATATACATTAATTAATTAATTAATTAATTAATTAATAGATTTTTATTTTAAAAATAGAATATCTTTCTCTTGTCTATCTGTTACTAGTTTATTTCAATAAACTCAAGTCACTGAGCCCTCAGATAGAGTTTGAATTTTTCTATAATATATACACCAAAGTTTTTCCTCCAAAACTGTTCAGAACTATTTCATCTGTCAAAATCATTAAAATACATTTTAATACTCTCATCACAAAATTTATGAATTAATGATATGCTTTAAGAAACTTGATCAAATCTTTCTATAAAGTGTACACACTTTAAAGCATGTTACACTTCATGAATACACATGATTATTATTTTTATTACAAAGTAATCTTTTTCTAAAGGCACCACCTCCAGAGAGTCAGACTAGAGAGTTAGGGAGGAAAATACTGTTCACTCTGTACTCTTAGAACATTTCCACTCATGGGCATAATTTACATTTAAATAAAATACATTTAAATATAAAAGATATTATAAATTCAACTAAGTTCTGTAGTGCATATGTCCCAAGACATCTGTATTAAATGACAGGATACACTTAGCTACTGATGGTAAAATCCTCTTGTCAGTTTGAATATCAAGGGATTTGTTATGAACTACAAGACAACTCACAGAACTGGGGGAAAGGTTGGAGCATTGAGTTATAGACCAGACTTCCAAGAAGGTCTCCCAAGGTTGCAAAACTGTGGAAGGGAGGCCACTTTCACCACCATGTCAAGCCTACACTCCCTCTGCCACTTTCTGTAATGAATACACAGATAAAACAAAATCACATTATGCCACATAAACGTACACAACTATTTGTCTGCCTCGTGGAACTCACTCCACACTTAGTCATGCGCAGGTCAGTCTGGCCTGTAAGATCTAAGGCATGGCTCTCCCCTCTCAGCAAGGGGGGCTAGGAAAGAATGACTCTAAACATTTACCCTTGAGAAAATAAAATGCTGAATGGGAAAAACAGCAAACTATGGAGAAATATTTGAAAGCTTAGGCAATAAATGGCAGATAACTGCTTCATATAGGTCCCTGCTGGGATCTACTCAATTAAACATATCTGGGGACGGGGGGGGGGGAATTATTTTTAAATTGGGCTTGTGTCAAATTGAAAACATGTAATAGCAGTGGTCTAGACTCTCCCTTAGTTAATCATCTGTCAATTAAGTCTGGGAAAATTTTTGGTTTGGCAGAAATAACCAGGATTTATTTCAAATGCTACTGAAACCCAAGTAAATTCTGGATTTGATGAATTTGCTCTGAGTCCTAGAAGAGTGCTCATAGCTACCATTTGTATGACATCCATTTTAAGATTAGGCACCATGCCAAGATCTTTACACATAAAGAAGTATGACAGTTAATTTTATTGGTCAGCCTGACAGGGCTAAGCAGGATGTCCAGATATCTGGAAAAAAATCATTTATGAATGTTTCTAGAATGGTGGTTCCCAAAGAGAGTCTCATCTGAATCAGCAGGTTAAGTAAAGACCATCTGCTGCGACATGGGTGGCAGCATTCAATCTTTTATCCCTCTCCCTCTCCCTCTCCCTCTCCCTCTCCCTCTCTCTCTCCCTCTTCTCCCCCCCCCTGTGTGTGTGTGTGTGTGTGTGTGTGTGTGCGTGTATCTGATATAGGGTCTGTTTTAGTCAGTGTTCTATTGCTATGAAAAGACATCATGACTACTCGAAACCTTACAAAAGAAAGTATTTAATTGGGGCTTGCTAACAGTTTCAGAGGTTTAGTCCATTATCATCATGGTGGGGACCATGGCAGCATGCAAGCAGACATGGTGCTGGAGGAGTGGCTGCATCCTGATTCCCAGCAGCAGGCAAAGAGTGTCACTGGGCTTGGCTTGGGCTTTAAAACCTCAAAGTTCACCCCCAATGACACAC